TATATATATATATATATATATACATATACATATACACATACATATAAGGTGACCCATTGGAAACAAAACAAAACTGAAAACAAAACTGAATAACTCTTACAAAAATAATTTTTCAAGAAAAAACGGGTCAATTTATGTTGGGGGGAAGACATCTTTTAATATACAATTCTTACACTCCTACAACTTCAACTCCCTAAGTGAAAGTGTTAATCCCTAAAAAATTTCAAATATGAGGAGTGATACATCATTAGAAAAGTCTTTCAATTTCCTACATTCCTATATTTGATTTTTTAAATTCGATCAATTCATCGTACATTTCACTCTGTATCTTTCAAAAGATACAGAGTGAAATGTAAAACAAATCTTCATATCTTCAAACTTTTTCTTTATCTATTGAATCAGTCCATTAATAAGTTACAAGGAATGTGTACGTACCGTATATAATTTAACGTAATAATTGTTTGAAATGTTGATAATCGATTTCCATACAATAATAGAGATTCTGACTTTAGTAACAAGGTATGTCTATAGATATTCAAAGTGTTATGAATTTTGATCATTATTTCTACTGTGCTCCTGTTTGATTTTTCTTTTGTATTCTTGATATTAAGAATCTACTATTAACAACCATAGGCTTTTTTCAATGTCTTTAAGCAAGACCATAACAGTATCTACTTAGTAGAATGTGCGACAAATGAATTTCATTATAGTTTACTCGATTGCAGAAAGGGTTGAAATGATGGCACTTTTCTTTGGAAATAATAAATGTGCTGTAATTTTTTCTCCAAGATATTTAGAGAAATATCTATCTAAATATCTAGGATTTTTTGATACAGGATAGAGATGAACTTCAAAGAATAATTTCGTTTTAGTAGCTAATGATAGTTACAGTTTCGAATTCACAAACAGTTTATTAAAAGTCTTTGAATATTACACTAGTATTGTAACAATGAATCTTTTTCCATTTGAATGTATAACGAACTTTTACGAACACTCTGAAATATAAACTTGTGCCAGGTTCTCTCGTTTTTCAACGATAGTCATGTAAAAATCAACTTCGCAGTTCTGTACTTCCTTACTCCGCAGTTCTGTATTTCGAACCAATTTGATTATCTTTACAATAAAGTCTTCATACTTCGCAACATTACAGTCATACCGAATAACACGCGAACTGCCTTTTCCAAGTTGCTCTGTTGAAATTCAGAGGACAAGAGATCTCTATTCACCCCACTTTGCTCCGGAATATTTCTATGAGATGGGATAACATGGTGCAGTCTCTCTTTAAATCTCCGTCCTCTTTGTCTGATTCAAGATCTACAACTGTGAAACGCGGTATTCATAGTCCATTTTTATTTTAAAACTGTCTTAAATATAATGTCATAAAATATTAATACAGTCTTCGGATTGGCTTACGACATCTTAAGATTGTACTTAAGCAATCTTAAATGTAAGAATCCACTATGAATACATCGATTTGTTTCGCGTTGTGAAGTTGGTACTGAATTTTTTCTTGCACAAAGAATTGTAACGAATTACTTTTAAAAATCGGTAATTAATAACAATAATTTGTTACTTTTTTATTTAATAACAAGTAACTTGTTACTTTTAAAAAATAATTTCCGTTCCCTGCTATATTTAATGGAGGAGTTCCACATCGTTGGCTAATTTAAAATAAAATATTCTCATTGGTAAAGCAGTGAAAAGTTACTAGAAAACTGGCCGATGTTTGTGGATGTGTGCTATCGCATCATGCACTAACGGGACCTTCCTTTATTCAATCAAGGACATACAAATAAGCATGTTAATCGCAAGTATGTTTTGGAGTGATTAGTGGCAAAATTTAAAGAGATTAGATGCGTGATCAATAAAAAAAGAAATGCTGAAAATTCTGTACGAAATGGCGTTCTAAGTAAACGATAGCATACTGCTATCGATCCTACATGGAGTACGAGACAATTGACTGCTGTATGTGGTGTTAGTCAAACTAGTATTCAATGAATTTTGAAACACCACAAATTCCATCCATATAAAATTAAGTTGTTACAGGAACTTAATACTAAACTTAAGATGATTTTGATTGTTGTTTGTAATCTTGTGAAGTCATAAGTGAACGGGTGGCTAATAATCCAAATTTTCTTTTTAATATTTGTTTTTCCAACAAATGTTCTTTTTTCAATAATATAATAAATTGCTATAATTGTTGTTATTAGGCAGATTCTATTCTGAGGATTTTACGAAGTCCATATCCAACACTCACAAAAATTAAATGTTTGAGCTGGTATTTTTGGCAATCGTCTTATTGAATTCTTTTTTCTACTTCATAATTTGAATGGGGATATATATTTGGAATTGTTAGAAGACATCATTAATCCAACTTTAACTGATATTATCGAGAATGATAAGCATTATCTCGAAGATCAATTAGTATTCCAACAGAACGGAGCTTTCACATTATGCACGGCTTATTCGGAATATTCGGATAAAACTTTTCCAAGTCATTGGATTGGAAGGAGAGGCGCTATTGAATGACCTTCTTGGAGATTTGTCATCATTAGATTTTTTTTTGTGAGATTACTTAAAAAAGTAAAATTTATGCAACACTACCAGCTTCTTTTTAGAAGATTTATATCAACATATCGACGAATGCCATCAAATTCACAAATGCTGCAGAATGTACGACGACGTTTCGAGCAGAAACTGTTGCTGTTATTGTATGGAAATCTATCAATATTTTGAACAATTACTATGCTAAATTACATGATACATATTTGGATATTTCTTGTAACTTATTAATGGACTGATTAGATAGATATAAAGAAGAAAGTTTGAAGATATGAAGATTTATTTCTTTTAGATTTACACTCCAAATCTTCTAAACCAATTGATCGAATTTAAAAAATCAAACGTAGGAATGTAGAGAACTGGAAGACTTTCTAATAATGTATTATTTGACCCTTCTACTCATTTGAAATTTTTTAGGTATTGACATTTAGAGAGTTAAGGGTAAGAATTACAAAAGATCCCCTTCCTAATACAAATTGATTTGTTTTTGCGTTTTTTCGAAAAATCATTTTTGTAGGAGTTGTTCAATCTATTTTTTCGATAGGCCATCTTGGATATATATATAGTACATAATATACACATATCTAGAAAAAATATTTCTTTAAATTTATATAGAATATAAGCATTTCCAAAAAAGAAATGTTCCTTACAAAAATTGTAAGGTTTTAAATAGAGAATTAGATAGATAATATTGGTGTGACTTTGATAGTGGAGACAGGGTTTGAAATAACTCGAATTAAAAAAAAACAACACAGAGAAGTTTTTTTTTTAAAAACCCGGGTTTTTTCGGATTTTAATAGATTTTATGCATTTTTATTTTTTATAGTTTATTAATGATTAGCAAGATTCGCTCCATAGATTGTAATAGATTTTTCCGGGTTTTATGCATTTTTATTCTTTACAGTCCATTAATGATTAGCAAGATTTGCTATTCAATATAATAAATAATTAATGAATTAATTTCAATTTAATTTATTTAACTTAATTCATTAATTAATATAATATACACACACACATATATCTGTATAAAAAACATTTTATACCAAATCGAGCCGATCAGTATTTGAACCCGATTATTTTTTATTCAATTCATTTTTTTTATAAAAAATAGTTTCATCACGTGTTAGATCTTAAAATGTTACGTATAAATTTTTTAATAAACTCAAAAAAATACATGATAAATAATATATTTAATACATTAATACATTAATACATTAATTTTACATTTATTAGATTTAATATTTGAAGAAAGATGAAAATTAAATCTAAAAATTAATTAAATCAAATTTTTTTTAATTTTCTAAAAATTGAAAAAAAATCTTTAACATGTGATCTCAAAATATTTGTTATGTATAATATATTTTTTGTGAATTTTTTTAAGAATATATTATAATATATTTTTAAGAAATCATAAAATTTTGTATTGTATAATTTAATAAATAATTGAAAGAAAAATGATACATAGCTTTTAATAATTTCATATAAATGTTTCAAAACAAAAATTTTAGTTTTTTATTTACTTTACGATTTATAAAACAAAAACTGCCAGTTTGAAATTTTTTAGTTTTGAAAGAATCGAAATTTTTGAAAATTTCTCTATAAAAAAATTCCTTGAATGTCGAAAACGTCTTCTATTTTGAGTTCTATCAGCAATCGCGCTTCAATAATGCAATTTCGGCTCTAAGCATATCGGCATTTCATTTTGAGTTTTTTTAATAATTCAACCTAACAAAACCTGGTAGGCTTACCTTGTCAAATCCTGAGTGGAAATCAGATAAAAATCACTGAAATTTTTTAACGAATATCATTTTTGTATATTCTTATAATCAGAGTTGGGAATGTTACCTTAAAAAAATAATGCGTTATCGTTAGAGTTACTTTTTGTTAAAAATATCTCGTTACTGTTGCTAATTACTCATTTTAAGAAATAACGCGTTAATTGAAAAAGTAATGAATCGTTACTTTTTCATTACTTTTCAAGGAATTTTTGAGTTAGCTTTCTCACATATGATGTTGATAAAATTAGACTTATTCGACACGTTTTTATACAAAAAACAAAACGAATCTGGCAGAAACAATCATCGAAAGCTAAATTCCACAATTGTCAAACTTAAATTAAATATTGCTTTTAAACTTTAATGTCATTAAGAATGTATTTCAAGATTCATTTTCGGTACTGAAAATCCGTAGTACGTATGTAATGTGAATTAGAGATTTTCAACTAATAGTAACTACGGAATGCAATCTAAGATATATTTACAATATAAAATATTTTTAGGAAATAAAAATGAGAAAGTAAACGTTTTATAGTTGTGTTTATTGTAAATAATAACCTTATACATAATACAATATTAAATTGTAAATATATATTTGTATATTTACACATTTAAAAATATTTTAAGTATTTCGCCATTATATTATAACAATGATAATTTGAGTAATTAGAAGTACACTTCTAGAGACACAAAAATGAAACATTTTTCAGCGTCAGCAATATCAAAATATGATCCAATCCAATCCATCCAATAAAAATTAAAATAACGATAAAAAGATTGAATCGTTTTACTGCAAAAAAAAAATATATATATATGTGTATATTTAACGACGTTATTGTTAAAGATAGAAAAAAGTAACGATCGTTACCCAAAAAAAGTAACGAAAAAAGTAATGGTAGTACAAGTAACGCGTTATTTTCCAACTTTATAACTGATTTTGAGAGTTTTTCAAAGCACTATATAAAGTTAGTTTTTATTAAGCTTCTAAATAGTTGCTGCAGTCACATAAAATTGTGCATGAAGTCATAAAGAGAAATGACACGTTGAAATTTCTTGCATGTCATTTGTAAATAAAGAGATCCAGAAATCTTAAAATCCGCAAAGGTCACGAATGATTTCATATCTTTGATCAAAATGCGAAAACTTGACAAATCGGCTTGAAAATCATTATAAGGTTTTTGAGATCGTTGATTACGAATCTGAAGATAGAATTATAAAATTCAAAATGGCCAGAGCAAAGAGAAACACATGAAAATTCAGAAATTTCATGCAAAATGATTTTCTAAAACTTCATGAGTAATGAAAATTCAAAATGGACATGCAGTGCACATCCAGCTTCGACCGTTATAGATTTTAACTCCTACTATTGTGTATACATTATATGGTTTTAATAAAATCGCTTTTTAATGAAGAATATCTTTAAAAAAACTCTAGTGTCGACAGCTGAGAAAACTTTTTTGTATATTTGAAACTAATTATCTCAAAATCTGTAAAACACACTACTTTGATTTCATATTTGAAAGATTTAATTTTCTACAACTTTTGTTTTAATAGTTGTTTTGTTTTGTTAAAAAACGCATCCTTTCTCTGATATTTATAAAAATAATATAATATAAAATAATTATGAATTCAGAGAGTGCTAACTTTTTAAAGAAGTATCTTTTTATTCCTGTTTACAGGAAACTTTTTGTTCAGAATTAAATTTCTTATAAATTTCTTATAAAATTTCAAAATCTGACTAAAATATTCGGGGACACCCTATATATTACCTCCAATGATGATAATGTGCAAGGTAATTCTGAACATCAATCGGACACTTTGAATATTGCCACGAGATAATGTTTTTCTTTACCATTATCATCTGTATTGATAATCAAATTTGGATGACATTAAAATCACAGTTTTAAATAAAAATCGAGTATTATTAAGTTATATATATATGTATATATAT